GACTCCCAAAACCAGATTCCACCGATTCAGATCTTCAAAATGCACAAACCATGTCTCGATTGCTCAGAATCAATTTAGATGCAAAAGAAATTGATTCAGAGAGCCAGGCTGATTCAAAGTATGAAATATTTACAAAAGCTTTGACATTTGTTTTTTTTCTTAATTCACCCTACGGTGTGTGTGCCTTTTGGTACGTCTTTCTCTAAATACTGGCATATTTTTTGTCTGCAATTTTGCTCAGGGTACCCAATACCAGCAAACAATCTCCCCTAATAAAATGCATTTTAATATTCTTTCTTTGTGCTGCCCAACAAGCTGTTGTCTTAAAAAAAAAAAATCTGCTTTCTGGCACGCTAATGAAGTTAGCCAGGAGATGTCACGACTTCTCTCCACCCCAAACCACTTGCTGGGTTATGGTTCTTACCTTCAGCTCTGTCTTCCCCCTGAAATCCATTTTGTAACCTTCTTTAAGATTGTGAAGTATCTTCATTGTATTTTGGCTGATGTGAATCCTGAATGCTGAAGGTTGTTTTTTTTTTAACAAGAAAGAAAATGCATATATCAAACCTTGTCATGTCTCTTGTGCATACGTTCGAAAGCAAGAGAGAAAAGAATTTGTTCCTAGCTGCAACGTGGAGACGCGAGCAAATAGTTTGCCACGTTTCCTACCTATTAATCCTGCTTTTGTTTTCCATTGTTAAACAGGTCACAAGGCCATAGATAGATGGCTTTAAATCTGCAAGCAAGGCAGAATTTTCCAACCTGGGGCCTCCAGATGTGCCCTGGAATCGATGGGTGGCTTAGTCCAGAAATCTGGACAACCTTCTGTTGAGGAAGGCTGTACAGGAGCCTCTTCCAACCCCCCCCCCAAAAGAAACCCAGAAAGGGCTCCCATACCACCAGGAAGTGGTAAGATTGTGGGGGGCACACTCACGAAATGGCTACGATGGGAGACTTATGGGTTCACCAAATATGGCTGCCATGGTGGGTGTGCCTAGTTGCAAAACATCTGTTTACCAGAAGGCAGCAGACTCATCGTGATGGTTTATCTCTCTGTGGGCTGGTTGGGAATTTTTATCAACTGATGTCTCCATTTCAACTGCAGGCCTTTACTTTGATCCATACATAGTCACACCAGCTGGATGGGAGGCTAAAGCTGTGTTATTTTACTGGATCAACCACTGGGCAGGCCTTCTTCAGACCACGGGTTTTGCATGCAGCCCCATAGCAACCTTGTCTTGACAGACCCCCAAGCCCTTACGCAATCCGGTGGACTCTATCCGTGAAGCCGTGTTCACTGTGTCTCCAAACAGACAGTACCTGGGCATGGTGAGACCCACCACTCCTGCAGCACACGGGCCTAGAGAACAAAACAGCCAGGAGAAAAACATTGGATGAATCTGGGTTTTGCTAAGCCAAAACAAAGTTTTCCCCAAGAGTCACGTAGGGTTAAGTTGGACTATAGTGTTAGGGACTTCAGATTTATTGCAATCTTCTTTTAGGAATTCTTGGTTTTAAGGAATGCTGAGATTGGAGCTGCCCAGAGTCACAAGAATGAGATGGGTGGCTATATAAATCCTAAAAATGAATAAATGAACGGTAGTGATTTCCCATTTGAGTAGGAATATTGATTTGTGTTTATTCATGATGTCAAATTCTATGGCTGCCCGCTTACACACAGCACCACTATTCCTTTAATATCCAAAGGGTTTCAATTTAGAAACGAATATTGGATGTTATCTAGTCCAGTATTTCTCAACCTTGGCAGCTTTAAGATGTGTGGACTTCAGCTCCCAGAATTCCTTGCGGGCTGGGGGAATTCTGGGATTTCCCTCTTTTTCAGGTATTTAATTCCACTCTCAGACTCCTCCTCCCCTTAAAATGCTTCTAATATTCAGCTGAAATCCACCCTCCTTAAATTAAGACTTGAAATGAAGACTATTGCATTCTTCTCAACATTCCCTTATTAGCTTCTCTCAATTGCTTTGACCCACACCGGATACTGATTTCCTTACGCTTGTATTAGTTAGATTTTTATCTTGCCTTTTCACGTGGCACCCAAAATGACTTCCTCATGATACAACAGCCAGAATAAATTCAAGAAAGCATTCATTTTAATTAGTTACTAAATAGTAATGGCCACTCCATGCATGTCATCTACGGAATGTCTAATAAGGCGCCATTTTGTGTCAGCTACTAAATCTTGTCAAATGCTGAATATTCACTGTTGTTGCATGACGGCTGCAAAATGCTTTCAGATAGCCCATATGTCAAGAGCACTCCACACGAGTGAGATGAAATACTCTTCAAGATTACCCAGTTATTTTTCCCATGGACCAATTCAGCTTGGATGGCCTCTGGGGTTAAAATGCCAGCAGAGCATCAAAGGTCCAGGAGCTAAACGATGACAAGTTATCCATTCTCAAGTATCAAACCAGGCCAAACCCAGACATCAAACCGTTTGGAGAAAACGTGAGAAACTGTCCAAATGGCTGGTTGTTGAAAAGAAGAGCCCAACTCTTCAAACCTTGGCAAAGCCATAGCCCACCCAGGCTGTCATCCTGGGGCCTGGAAATATGATTAGCAAATCACACAGACAAACTGTATTTTATTTGCTGGTGGGTTCTCTTATCCCAAAGTGAAGGCACTTGCTCTTTAAAAACTAATTGAAAGCCATGTGTCTTCCCCACTCCTCAATGTACAGATATGGGGTAGGAAGAGGAAGAGGAAGAGGAGGAGGAGAAGGAGAAAGAGAAGGAGAAGGAG